TTCCCAGTTGGGAGTTAGTTTGCCAGACTCGTTAGCCCTACCAACTGCTTCCATTTTTCTAAGTACAAAGTCCCCTACTTTGAGTGGACGCCTGTGCACTTTTTTGTTGTATGATCTAGTCATTCTCAGGCGGTAGATTTCATGGCGCAAAACAGCATTGCCCCTCTTTTCAGGAAGTGAGTCTAATGCCAGGCGCATAGCTTCCCAGTTTGCCTCTTCGTCATATAGCATTACTCGAAGAGTCGGCTCGTAGTGTTCTATTGGAAGAACAGCTTCTGCACCATAAGTTAGGAGGAATGGAGTTTCTCCAGTCGCCCCTTTTTCAGTCGTCCTAATGGCCCAAAGAACATGTGGTAGTTCATCTGCCCATAGGCCGCCTGCTCGTTCAACTTTTTTCTTGAGACCGTCTGAGATGATTTTATTAAAGGCTTCTACCTGGCCGTTTGCTTGTGGACGGCCGACAGATGCAAAGTAATGTCCAATTCCTTGGTCTCCCAACCAGCTTTTGAGAACAGGCGTCTCAAATTGGGGACCATTATCAAAAACCATAGACATGGGAACCCCGAACCGAGTGATGACGTTTTTCCAAATGAATGAAATTACATCTTTCGTCTTGATTCCCTTTACAGCCTCCGCCTCTACCCATTTAGTGAAGTAGTCAACGGCAACAAGTATATACCTTCTGCCGCCTGTAGCAGGCGTATATGGACCCAGAATGTCCATGCCCCACTTAGCAAACGGTAGTGGGCTGTGAATGGTAGTGAGGTCAGTAGCCGGACGGTGAATTAATTTGCCAAACCTTTGGCACTTGTCACATTTTTTCACCATCTCCATTGCATCTGCTTCCAAAGTAGGCCAAAAGTAGCCCTGCCGCCTTGCCCTTTGAGCAAGCATCCTACCACCTATATGGGAAGCACAGAAACCAGAGTGAAGATCATCTAGTATCTCTCGTCCCTTTTCAGGAGTAACACACTTTAAGAAGGGTTGAAGGTGCCCCCTCTTGTGCAGTTCCCCCTGTATCATTTCAAAACAGGAGGCTCGTTTTTTCAGTGATGCCGCCTGTTGAGAATCATCCGGCAGTGTACCGTTTGTCAGATATGCCCTGATTGAATCCATCCAGGTTGAGCTTCTGTCTAGAATTCCAATAGGATTTTCCTCGATGCTTCTCTTCTCCATTACTTCCCAAAACACAGTTCGAGGAGTATCGGAGGAGGCGGATGATGCTAATTTCGAGAGTGCATCTGCCTGGTTGTTTTCTGATCTCGGTACTTGGATCAGATGGAAATTCTCAAGGGAGCCGACTGCTTGTCGGACCGCCTGTAAATATTTGATCATGGCCGGATGTGTTGCTTCGTATTCGCCATTGTACTGACTATCAGTTGTGAATCAGAACAGGCGTCTATTTTCCTTGCCTTTCTGGCGGACTCTGTCTGGGACGCCTTTCTTTTTCTGTCGCCTGTTTCTTGAACAGGCGCACTTTCCTTGACATTGTCAAGGTCTGTTTTTTCTCCACTTGACCCAGTGGCCTTAGCAGTGGGTTTGACATCCGAGAGATAGCACTCTCGGGCCATCCTCTGATCTCCCCTTAGGGAGCCGACTGTTCCATTGTCCCTTTCAAACTTAAGCAGCATAAGTGACGGGATTATAACAGCCTTGGCACTATTCAGGGTTGGGCGACCCAGAATCATGTTGTAGGCAGAGAGTTCCTCTACAACTAGGAATCGGACTACCATGTGTCGTCCTTCCCCTTTTTCGCCCAGGCGGACGGGTAGATCAACTCGTCCCAGTGGGTGGACGACTCCTCCTCCAAACCCTATTAAAGGGTGGGAGGCCGGATGTATGCAGTCCGTCTGATATTTCAGTTTTGACAGACATTTGCTGCTGATGAGATCTGAAGAGCTCCCAGTATCTATGAGGATTCGACCAACTCTCTGGTTGGCCACTTTACATTCAATAACGAGAGGGTCGTCATGCGGCCCCCTTATTCCTCCTAGATCCTCTTCAGTGATGACAATCTCAGGAAATGTATATTTGGACGGTCGTTCTTGGTGAACGGAATTTACATCTAACCGCCTTATATTATCTTTGTTGCCCCTAATAGTGGGGCCGCCTCCTGAGAAGCCGCCTGCAATGGTGTAGACGACTGCATCATCTGTATCGGAACTGTCGGCCTGTTGATTCTTTTTGGCCGACTGCTTTTTTGAGGAAGTATTCCCCGTAGATTTCTTGACATAAGTGTCAAGATCACCTTGATCAGCCAAGCGGTCTAGGTACCGCATGAGACTAATGCAGTCGTTGGTGTGATGACCAATGTCATCATGATAAGCACAGATTTTGTCTTGGTTCCGGTTGCTCGCAGAACCCTTCATGGGGAGCGGTTTCTCAATTGAGAGCCGTCCCTTTATTTCTTTTAGGATAAACTGGTTATCCTTGTTAAACACATACTTTGGGGAGTATGGTTTGAATTCCTTTTTCTTCTTGGCCGGCTGTTTAGAGGAATCAGCCGCCCAGACCCCTTTTCTTTTTTCATCTTTGTTGGACGACTGTTTCTGTCGTCCTTCTCTATTGTCGAACCTCTTCCCGTCCGACTGTTTCATTGTACACAGATCAGTCGCCTGTATATAGGCTTCTGCTTCAATCAAGGCCTCTTGAAGAGTCGCCACCCTTTTTCGAACTAAATCAAATTTGAAGGTAGACCCGTCTTTGAGACCTCTAAAAAAGTCAGTATAAGCTACCTCATCCGGTAACCCTTGAATCTGAATTCTCATCAGGTTGAACCGCCTGATGTAGGAACGAAGCCCCTCCTTTTCACCCTGCTGAATTGTTCCCAAATCAAGGGTCGTTTTCTTCGCAGGGATGTTCATTGCAAAGTTGGAGGCAAATAAGTAAGCAAGCGTCCTGAAACTGTTTACACAACCAGTCGGCAGGTTGCCGAACCATTGCTGTGCAATTCCCTTGAGAGTTGCTGGGAAACACTTGCACCAAGTGGGATCATCCAACCCTTGAAGGTACATCAGGTTGGTGAATGCCATCAGATGGTCTTCCGGGTTAGTAGTGCCATCATAGGCGCCTACTAAAACATTTTTTACTTTGGCCGGCTGAGCGGCTTCAGTAACTTCCTTGGAGAAGGCCGACGGCTGTTCACCAAGTCTAAGCAGCCGTAGCTGCCAGTCCATAGGTTGGACGTTTTTTGCTGCAGGTCCACCAAATGGAGGTGGCTGCATAAAATATTGTTGTTGCGGCACAAATGGCAAATTTGGTACCGCCTGCGCACTATGAAAGCCAGACTGACGGGAGGTGCCGCCTGACTGACTCTCATGGTACGACTGAGTTGGCCTCATCGAGGCATTTCGCAAACTGTCCTGAAAATTTGAAGTAGAAGCCGACTCTGATAATCGGTCACTCCTCTTCTGCTCTAGCAGGTGCCGAGCATCTGTGAACGTTTGCTTTGACCCGTCCGCCTGAATATGACGAACCGGTTTCCTATTTCCCGTAGGATAATGGAGTTTTGTGAAATCAAGAGCAGACGGCTCCCGCTTCTTAGATTTAGGATGGGGAGTCGCCTCTCGCCCTTGAACTGGCTTCCTCTTCAGTGAAGTGGAAGGTTTTTTGGCCGCCTGCTCTTTGACTGAAGCAGGCGGTTTTTTGTTGATCAACTCTTGGATCTCTCCCTTGAATCCCCTCATGAAGGTCATGAGTTCGTTCCTTGTGATCGGAGCAGACCCATCAGTCGGCTGTTGCCGAGCAAGCGGTGCACCTGCTGGCTCGCTTCCTGTTTGAAGATACTCCCGTTCCCTTATTTCAGTATGACGGGTACGGCGGGCCCTTAGGGTCCCGTCTGGAGCTGTATGAGTTTCAACTTCAAATTCACTTTCGGTATCATGGTCCGACTGAACTTGAGGGTCGTCTAGGGGACGCCTCTCTTCTGGTGTCGGTACAGACTTGGATGCCATCTCTGAAGTACTCTCCCCACAGACGGCGCCAAATGTTTCGGGGTTTTCTGATGTCCTGCGGGAGAGTTACAATTCCGAGACTGGAACCGGACGCCTGTACCTGCAAAATAACGGAGACTCCTGAGAGCTCCGCCTCCAACGGTCAAGTTAGTACCTGATTAAGGAGTAATTAATACAGAAATTAAAGTAATAAGGTCTCTCTAGGTGAGAGTATTTAATGTAGGTAATCTGCTTTGCTAGCGAGATCAGCCGGTTATTAGTGTGTTCCGTAATGTATTCGGTCCCTGATTAATGAGGATTAATCGAGTATTTATAGCCTTGGGAAGCGTGCAACTCTCTAGGTTTAAGGTAAACCTAGGGCCGATCGGGCTTCTAGACTGAAATGGGCCTTGATGGCCGGTTGTCCCATTTGGCATGGGTGGACACGTGGCATGTCTTAAGTGGTCCGTGGAGGACGCGTGGCGGAACCTGGTTGGTCCACTTGTCAAACGGTGCTTGGTGGATAAAAATCCCCTAATCAGTAACGGTGGCAATAGCAACCAACAATGCCAGTTACTAAAAGTCAATTTCGCTAGTTACAAATAGCATTTTTTCTACTAGTAATCACGATATAATCAGTCCCCAAAATACATAATAAGAGATTCCTTTTTTTTTTGAAACCAATAAGACATTCCTTAAACCAAGGCCACATAAGTAAATAAGAATAGGATATATCAGTAGCAAATTTAATTAATAGACATTAAAAATAATCATAGTTTCACAATCAGAACAAACATTAAGTGGTCACAAGTCCAAGATTGGTTAGAACTGATATTTGGGCAGAATATTCATGCGAAAAATTACATATACGATCAGTTAATGTTTAAAAGTAGTGGCTCACATTTTCTCGTCTTAAATAAGTATTTTAAAGTCGAGAAATGATTTCGGTGTTTAAACTCTCATCAGTATGATTTTATCCTTTGATATGATAACATTTTAATTAACAATAATCCAAAAACTAAATACAAAATACAAGAGGAAATTGGAAACAATCAAGAAGAAGAGAACCTTGAGTGGTGGACATGACGGCATCGGCATTGGTAGCCTATATTGAATTCCCTTCATTACTCGAAATGAGACTGACCCAAACGAACCAACCCCAAAACAGAAGAAGAGAACCTTGAGTGGTGGACATGACGGCATCGGCATTGGTAGCCTATATTGAATTCCCTTCATTACTCGAAATGAGACTGACCCAAACGAACCAACCCCAAAACCTAAAAGACATGGTGAAGGGAATTGAACATATTCCTGACCAATTGATGAATAAAAGCATGAAACTACTCCAAACTTCTGACTTCTACTTAAAAAAATCAGAACATACCTTTAATAAATTTAGGATTTTCAACACAGAAAAAAGGATGAAATGGCTCTGGGTTTGAGCAAAAGTAATCCCAGTGTGTAAAGTTATACACGAGCTAAGAAAACATACCTTCTGGATTTGTACGTTTTTCTCAATCAGAAGTGCCTTTAAAGTTGATGAAGATGAAGGTTCTCGACTTTTGATCTCAGCTTCCAATCTAGAAACTTCCTATAGTAAATGCTTAACCAACTGCTGGTCCATAACAATTGAACTTGACTCGGCTTTAGAGCTGCTAGGCGCCAAGACTTTCTCTTCCTGGACTGGAAAAGTTGATGTTCCAGCAGCAGAAGGCTTCTCACTTGAAGAAGGAACCTGCAACCAGGGAACTGATACCTCAACACTAAGGGGCAAGTCTGCATTGTCAAATTGAGTTTGCAGCTTCAAAAGTTCATCGTCCACATCAGACAATTACTCATCAGTATCATATAGTAGATTTCTGCACAAAAATCAAGTGAAGCAAAATCACACCAATGTCTTATTTGATGTAAATAATACTTTCAATTTAAGCCATGTTGAATACATCAAAGAACCTATATATTAATAAATCCAACCATTCTATAATATAGGATATTTAACCAATTGTTTACAATTCACAATATAAGTCATTTACAGACAAAAATGTTTTAAAAAGCAATAAATCCTATCTTACACCCCATCTATTCTTAAGGGCATTTTATACAGGTACTCATCTGAGGGTACAATACGTCAAAGAACCTGTGTTACTCGGACTCTTTCATTTTATCTCAAGTATCCACGTCGGACTCTCGATAGTCGGACATGGGTATGAGCGTATGACACTTTGACACTTCAGTTTAGTTCAAAATCATTGAATTTTTTTCACGAAATAGCAGTCATGCAAAGATAATCCTAAACCTCAATATCTTTGCATGAATTTTAGAGTGTAACAAGCACAGTGTATGCTTGTTTATAAAATAAGAGGGAGGGGGGAGCATGGCAGAAGAGTTGGTACTCTAACTTGACGACAAGAAATTTGCTAACATTGTGAAATTGACTCTAAACTGTGAAAAGGGTGAAAAGTAGTGGAATCATCTCACCCCAATACGCTGCTTTGAATAGAGCACAGCTCAAAGCCACAATCGACGAAATCAGAGAGAGAAAGAGAAAGAAAGAGGAAAGAGAAAAATCTCCCTCAGTAACATTAAATTATCATCCTGATAAGAAACAAAAAAATAACTCAATAAATTCATAGTCATACAACAACCTAAATAATGTGCAAAAAATTGTATCAAAAGCTAATTTAGGAAAAAATAAAACCACATGGGCTCTGAAATAACGTGTAAGTCATAACAACAACAAACTAACATCTCAAAGACATTTTGATAAAAGAATGATCCTTGATGTCCTGGTCTTACTGAAACCGTCTAAACAGTCAATAGCACATGACAAGCAACAAGTCAACAACAGAAGGAAAGCTCGACAATTAATACTCAGTATATAAGAAGCAATGCCATTATGAGACACTGTAAACAAAGTAGCACAAGCTGTATGTTGCTGAATTAATTCATAATACAAAGTAATAACTTAACACTACTCCTCACCACATTTGACATTTGTGATTCGACCAAGTCAGCTTAGAGGATTATTTTCTATACTTTTATGACAATAAAAATCATAATCTAATCACCTTGCTAAAACAATTCTTATGATTGCTACAATATTTTTAAATCAAAACACGATAGAGAGTGCAATTCTTGAAAAAAAAAAGTCATTATAAATGCAATTTACATTCTACCAGCAAAGTTGGAGCTGAATATTTCATAAAAAAAAAAAAAAAATAGTAATACTCTGTATTTAGCTAATGTTGTAACTATCCCATTTACCATACAAAATAAACACTAAATGAAACCCAGGTTCATCAATTCCTAAAAATCTCAATAATCCAATAGCAAAACAAATTAAAGCTAAAGCAACCTCATGGTAATTTTTACATACAAAAACCCATTAAAATAACAATATTACACATTTCAGTTGTTAAATTGATAATCAACCATAAGCTATATTTGCAAAAACCCAGTTGATTTTATCCTCCTTCCATATTCTAAACAGCTAATTTACCATCAAAAATGGAAAATATGGGAAAAATACAGTCTGCTCATATAAAATTACATCTACAATATGAAAAAAGTGAAAAAGAAAAATTAGAATAGAGAGATGACCTTGGAAGAGGTACTTGCTGATCTCACAGTGGTTCTTCTCAGTGATAATCTGTTCAACAATGCCCCAAATTTTTTAATTAATTCAATAAAACGAAAAAAAATAATAACAATCAGAAAATCAAAACAAAAACAGCGAATGTGAAATAGAAATAGGGGAATGCCATGGTGATGGGAATGAGAAGAAGGATGATCTAGGAATCGATGTAAAAGTTGAAACTTTGTAAGAGTTTTCAAGAGAATGCCGCAATACTAACTTCAAGCAATAAGCCTAAATCGCAGACAACTAATACCCTAACTTGACAACAACTAATTTGCTAACATTGTGAAAAAAATAAAATAGTGTTCTAAAGAATCTTCAATGGAGAAATCAAAGTATGCACAGAATTGGAAGAGACAGACATAGAAGAAGAAAGATCTTACCTCAGAAGTTGCTTCAACTGATGGACAGCTCAGAAGCCGCATCAATGGAGAATTCAGAGTATGTGCTTCATGCCTTCAATGGAGCGAGAGAAATTACCCCCAAATTCCACAAACCCAATGCCTTATCTGATAAATTCGAGTACATTAGGGTTTACAGGATAATCTATTACTTGTATGAATTTAAGAGAGGGGAAATTGAATATAATGACACATTAATTAACGATAAACCCTAGCTTTTGAAATGCGAAATTCGATAATTGAAAAACAAATTACCTCGGAAGCTGCTTCAATGGAGGGAAAAGCTCAGAAGTTCCTACAATGGAGTGAAGTGAGAGAATTACCACCGCCAGAAATTCTGATTTTCATCATGCAATTGAGAATTGGAGATATGGAGGGGAGGAAATTAAGGGAGAAAGAGGAGAGAGGATGCTAGAATTGAGAGGATGTGAGCAATTTCTGGTAAAAAGCAGAAATAAAATGAAAAACAAAGGAAAAGGAAGACGAGAGAGAGTTAGGAAGCAAATTAGCTTGGACTGAGGGTCTGAGGGTCTTAGATTTTGTTTTTTTTATGAGTTGTCATCATTTTTTTTTTTTTTTTTTTTCACTTTTGACAATCATTTTTCAATATTTTTTCTCTCTATCTCTTCAATAATTTTTTTTCTGCCTATCCCTCGCTAACCCCACATGTATATTTGTATTTTTCAATCATGGATTTTAAAAAATGTCTAAAATTCTTAATTCCCATGAAAAATGGAAAATAGGCATGTAGATAAGGGACGGAGGGAGTAATAAATATTGTTATTATCTTTAGGAAAAATTGTCCAGAATAATCTGCATGTTGCCTCATCCGCTAAAAATAATCCCAACTTTCGTTTATTTTTTAATAATCCAAACTTTAATGGGAATCTGCTTCAAATGGTTTCAACCGGTCATCTAACTTGTTATAACAAGTTACTTAAACATATGTCGGCACGTAATTGGTAAAAACAATTTTAAAAAATTAAAATAAAAAAATAATTAATTACTTAAAAACCCACCACCCCTTCCCCACCGACCTAACCACCCTCTCCATCGCCCACCCCCGCCTAGCCAAAGCCCATGTCAGACCACGTCTCATAAGGTGTTTTGAGGTTAATTCCAGAGTACAGTCCACGGTTGATCAGATAGTATGTCGTACTAACTAATTTTTCCGAGAACCTTCTAGTCAGTACAACATTAGAGAGAATGCACCGAGCTCTCTCCAAAAGTTTTTGCTTTATTCGTTCTATCACAGAATTTTGTTGTGGTGTATCTCTAATGGTATGACGCTTAGCAATCCCCTCATTCATGCAAAACTCATCGACTTTAGACTAACAAAATTCCAGACCATTATCAGTTTGTAGCCATTTTATCTTCCTCCCAATTAATGATACAAAATACATGTGACCTCCCAATGACTCTAACACGTGAAGGACCTCAACGTACAATTGGAGTGGATACATAATACATGTGACCTCCCAATGAACGTCTTTAGGGAACTTGCTATGATGTAATTTCCCAAAGACACAATACTCACAAATTTTAAGGTCTATGACCTTGTGGCCACCTAGAAGATCTGCCTTGGAGAGATTTTGCATTCTTCTTTCACTCATATGCCCAAGCCTCATGTGCCATAGCGTGGTCGATCATATCATCCTTCCGGACCTTAAACAAAGCATTGGCAACTGAACTTGATAGAGTGGAGCCCTGTAGAAAGTACAAAGTACCACGATTGAAACCCTAAAGCACCACATTCGAACCCTTAGCTTGTAAACTTTCAAAACTCCACCTTTACCCTTGAAATTGAACCCTTTGTTGTCTAATAGACTAAGTGAAATCAAATTCTAAGTCATTAATGGAACATGTCCAACATTGTTCAATGTGTAGAATGTACCATTGATAGAGCCAATCTCAATTGCCTTGTAGACTGCACCTACTATTAGGCATTGAAATATTACCTCCATCTATTTGCTCATAGGTAGTAACCACTCCCTACGTGGACACATATGATAAAATTCCCCAGAATCGAGAACCTACACATCATTATGATGTGTATGTTCACCTGCAACTAAAGCAATGTCATCCTCAGAATTCGAGTTCTCTTCTGCTAAAGCAGCAAAGCCAGATTTATCCTACTGTTTCTTCTTAGGATATTCTTTCTTCCAATGCCCCTTCTCCTTACAGCAATTACAAGACCCCCTGTGGAATTTCCGGGCTTCTTAGCCTTCCTCTTCCCTGAATTTCCATGCCCCTTACCACCACTGACCACTAATCTAAAGGCTTGATTGTATGTACTACAAGATGTCTTAATGCGCAATTCACTAGTATGAAGAGATGATCTAACTTCTTTTGACATAATATCTTTACCAACTATGAAAAATTACACAAAATTTTCATATGATAAACGCAAGAAACTAGCAAAATTTAAGCAACATCCTCATCCTCAACCTTAACATCAATGTTATGCAATTCTAGAAAAATTGTATTTAATTTATCTAGGTGATCTCTAAGAGGTGTACCTTAATTCATCGCAGATTGAACAGATGTTGCTTCAATAGCAACTTGTTGGTTAGAGACTTTGTCAAGTAGAAACTCTCCAATTTCAACCACAGAGCCGATGTGATATCCTCATCCACGACCTAGGCAATGATATTGTCTACAAGACACACCATGATCATTGAATGCGTGCCTTTGATCTCCTCTCGAATGGTCATCTTAGCGGTATTCGGAACCGGTGACTTCTTTGTCAATGATGCCCATATAGGGATTTAGGTACTCTTAATGGAATTTCATGAATCTCATTCATATGCACCTAAATCAATATCACATGCATAACACATAAGAATCACATAATTATACCTTTGAAGCGTGATTTCCACGTTGTGATTGACTGTCAATTAGGGAGAGAATAGAGCCCCAAGCATTGCTCCTCAACTTAGTCCACAAGATTCGAATGAGCCGTCCACCAATGCTATATTGGTCGGATGAAGGAGGAATTCACCACGATCACCACCTTTTTGGACAACCAGCCACCACCACGAACCACCACCACCATCGTGCACAACCACCAGTGCAAGGAGGAGAGAAAGACGTGAGAGAGAGAGCTTGAGAGGGCTAGGTTTCGTGTTTGCTAACTCATATTTGATTAACAATAAACTGTGTTATGTAAAACCCCAGGCACCTAGTCTATTTATAATCATATTATAATTAGACTAGGTTAGAAAGCCCGAAACCCTCCAATGCTACCCATGTGGCCGGCCACCTAGAAGGAGAAGGCCCATCATGGGCCTCTTCTTCTTATGCTCAATATAGCCCCTTTGTGTGACCTTATATGATCTGTTCAATTAGGCTTTAGCCTATTTTACTAGCCCTAATATCGTTAGTACCTCTAGCTATGATAAAACGACGACCCAAATGAACGAACTTAATTATCTCCATAATTTGATTCATATATATATATATAGTAATTGCACTTGACGATAGAGTTTCTAGGGAGGCGGGAGATCTGCCTGCTGTGGTGGGGTGAGAGTCATCCCTAGTTTTGACGGACGAAGGCGTCTGCCCAGCAACAGTCTTTCTAGACTTAGAGGGCATCCGTTCATCAGCTGTCGGATGCTTGTGCTGCTTCTGGGTAGAGGGAGGAGGCACAGGCTGTTTGATTGGCCCCTCCTGCAAAATTAAAGTCAAGACATGTTAGTGCCAGGAGGTATAAGTCGTTTGTATACTAAACCAAAGCAATTGAAGGGTTGAGGTTTTACATGGTCCAACTGATCTCTCTTGAATTCCTTCGCCTTCCGCTTGTTAATCATGCGGTAGGCGGCCGCAGAGCTGGAGGGTTTCTTGTTCTTCGCCACTTGCTCCATTGCCTCGTCTGCACAGAATAGTCGGATGTTAGCAAACCAGAAAACACACACACACGACACTTAGACAAATTTGTCAAGTTAAAATTGCACATCCGGCCAACTACCTCTACTAAGCTCAATACTAAGGCCACAGGCAGCCAAAAAAGTGTCTTCTGGCAGCCACTCAAATCTTGGGATGTAACTGTTGGGGATTATCCTTTTTGTCCCCCTCGGTTTTTGGTGCTAACTTTGAAAAGGCCGAGTGTGAGTATCTGGTCCCAAGCCTCATCAGGGACAGGCCGCAGAGGTGCCTTCTGTCCTAAAAGATAAGGGTTTTAATTCCAAGAGTTGTACTTATGAGTCCTCTTGGCATGCGGCGAAGAAATTATGACGAACTTGTTTCGCCAATCCTTCCACTTAGACTCCTTGCAGACAGTCATCTTGTACCCCTTGTAAGTAGTCAAGGTGTACTAGTCGCCTACCTTTGGAGCCTTGCTGAGGCAGTGCATTTTGGCAAAGGCCTCGAAGCCAGGCTCTACCTCGAGCATTTCATATGCGGCAACATACCCCAGTATATTCAGCCTAGCATTGGGGGCAAGTTGCCAGATACCCAGGCGGTATCTGTCCAGAATCTTCTCCACGGCCGGATGGAGAGGGAATCTAAGGTCCGCTTGTATGGACGCTTCGTAACAATCGAAGCATTTTTCCCCGTAGTTGGACCCATGCGGCCAGACGACTATGTCACCCAGATCCGGCACATGCATCTCATAGCCGCCTCCCATTACATGGGGGGCCTTGAATTTGTCCATCTTTTAGAGCATGTATTTATGTGTGTGTGCAGAATTGTGGTGATAGTAAGCGCAAACTCTCCCTTATTCGAGGTGGAGGTCTCTCCTTCTCCTCTCTCTTTAGAGTCGGCCTCTTCAGTCGATATAAACGGCTCTGACACAACCTTAGAACCGTCTGACTCCTCATCCGGCCGAACTGAACCATGCTCAGGGCCGGATGCACTCTCTTCGCTTCCTGAGCGAAGGGACCCTTATACAGAGCGAGATGCACTACCTCCGGACCCTTCTTCTGACCCATCTAAAATAGAGTCACTCGACGTGCTTGGAGGGCCGGGTGGGTAATCAGAAACTGCATTCCTTGGTATTGCAATGGTGCCGTCTCCGTCGTCACTATCTATGGGGCCCTTAGCCATCCTTTTATTTTGAGCCATAGTGTCCTGCACAGACACAGAGACATCCGGATTCTGGGATGTTCATAGAGGAGAGTCCAAGTAGGGGCAGACGACACTCCTAGTCCTAGATTCAGCCGCACCAGGTGACCAACTGACAGTTAACTTAGGCCGTGCCGTGTGTGTTTGTGAAACCATTTTTGAAAAGAAAAAAGAAAAGCAAACACATGTGGTAAATAAAGCAAGGAAGAGGAGAGAAACAGGCGGTTACCTTGGAAAAGAAAAGGAACAATTGAAACAGCTGAAGTTTGTGAGACGATTGTGATACAGGCGTACTGGACACAAGCGGAAACAATAATTTTCTCTAAAAAATCGCAAAATCTCTCTCTAAGATTTTTAATAAAAGTGCGAAAATGGGGAGGGGTAAAAAACTATTTATATAGGGGTAAATTCAGGGGCATCCCTGTAATTTCCCCAGGAAGGTGAAA